GTGGACTCCATCTTATTTTGGAAGGGATTATTGACAACGTCTGGTTTTTGATAATCGAGTGCGCGCGCAAAATATATGTTGCACTGGAGAGGGGGGGTGGATACCAGTTGGGTTGGATGTTGCAAACTCATATTCCTGACGGGCGATGGGGCAGAATCGTATGCAAATTGCAATACGAAGAGCGGGGCCGATAATCCTGGGGAGGGGCATTCTCTTCTTCCAGGAAGAAGAATCCACCAATGCTCAACTTGAAATTGTCCACTCCACTGCTCCATGCGGCGGCGATTGCGATGAGTGCTCGGCGCTGACTGGTGCATCTCTGCGGCCGCGACAGCACGCGCATGTACGCGCGAGAAGCGGCAAGTCAGTTTGGCGCGACAGACGCGGCCGCGGTGGCGCTGACCGCTGGGCACATCCACGCGGGCATATCAGTGCGAGTCAGCGACTTGGGCGGGCGCGGTATCGTGGCAACGTCGACAACGGTAGACACGGTGATGATAGTAGCGATGCTGGTGACGATGCTGGCATCAACGGCGGAACGGCCAGTGACGGCGCGGATGCTGATCATTCCGACGACAATGACGGCGTTCTTGCGCCGGTGATGGAGGTTTCGGGCAAAAGTTTGACATGCGCGCGCGGCCGCCGCGCGAGTGGCCCGCATGGTGTGATTTGACACGGGTCGTGCCCCCCACAGCGCGCACATACATACATACATACATACATACATACATACATACATACATACATACATACATAAATACATAAATATAGACTGATGGTCTTCTTGGGAAGTCGCAAGAGCGCGAGCGCACGATTTTACGAAAACTGGTGTTGCGAAACCATGTGTTTATATGTTTTGTATGCTCGGGTTCAATCCGAACGACACCTAGGGTTTTGAAAGATTCCGGCAGGCGCGCGCGACAACACGCGCGCGTGTAATGAGCTCTCGCGACGGCGCGCGCGCAAGGGCGTTCGAACGTTTTCGACATGCGCGCGCGAAGGCCGTTTGGTAGCATTTTCTGAAAATGATGAAAACCCATGGTTTTCTTAAGAACTCGCGAAAACTTGGAAATCCGTGTTGCAAAACCTTGTGTTCTTCATGTGTTTTGGACGCTCGATTTTGAAATCCTTCGTCGTTTCTTCCGCAAGGGTTTTTGAAAACTTCTGATTGTTGCTAAACGAATGCGCGCGTATATTCTTGTTGCGGAAGTTGCCGGGGGGGAGGGGGGCGGATGCCGGCTCGGCTGGGATGGTACGGGTTTATATTCACGATGGACGATGGGGCAGCAACATCCCATGTAAATTGCAATACGTAATGGATAATCCTGGGGGGTCGAGTCTAAAGGAGAATCTACGCGGTGCACTTGACATCCTTGCACCGCGCGTGACCACCTCCCACGCTCGTGCAAACATCCCACCCACCCACCCGCAACTTGGTTTGCAAAACCTATGCGGTGGCGATTGCGATGGGTGCTTGGCGTTGGCTGGTGCATCTCTGCGGCCCTAACAACCCAAGCACGCGCGCAGCGGGCATCTACTGTGGCACGACCGACGCGGCCGCGGTGGCGCTGACCGCTGGGCACATCCCAACAGGCACTTCAATGCGAGTCGGGGACATGGGCGGGCACGGTATCATGGCAACGTCGACAACGGCAGAAACGATGATGATAGTAGCGATGCTGGTGACGACGTTGACAACGACGACGGCGCGGCCAGAGCGGGCGCCGATGTTGATCATGCCGACAACGATGACGGCGTCCCCGCGCCGGTGATCACGGCGCCCCGCGCCGGTGATGAAAGTTCGACATGCGCGCGCGGCTGACGCGCGAGAGTGGCCCGCATGGTATGATTTGGCACGGATCGTGCCCCCACAGCGCGCGCGCACGGGCGGGCGAATGATTTCGACACACGGGCGCCACAGGCCCTTCTTGCAGAATTCCATGAGCGTGACGAGAAAGCAAAAAAAACGATGGTTTTTTTCAGACTTCGCAAGAACGCGTGCGCACGTGTTTTTGAAAACTGATGTTGCGAAATCGTGTGCGGTTATACGATTTTTGAACACTCGGTTTTGACGATGTTACGGAGCCGGAAGTTTTTTGACGAAGGCCGGCGTGCGCGCGCGACGACGCGCGATCGCGCATTTCGTCCCAGTTGTTCCAAAAGGATTCTCGCGACAGCACGCGCGCAAGGGCGTTCGAACGATTTCGACGTGCGCGCGCGAAGCCCGTTTGGCAGCATTTTCGGAATATGAAGAAATCTATGGTTTTCGGAAGAATTCGCAAGACCGCGCGCGCAAGCAACAAACATCTGGGTTGCGACGCCATGTGGTTCGTATGTTGTTTGGGAAGCTCGAATTTAAAATGCTTACGGCACCGAAGGCGTTTGAAGGATTTCGGCACGCGCGCGCGACAACGCGCGCGCGTGCAGTTCGACCAAACCTTTGCAAGGGACTCTTGACACTCATGATTTGTGGTAAACGAGTGCACGCGCGTAAAAATTGTTTCAGAAGACGGCGGGGGGGGATACCAGCCAGCCTGGGATGTTGCGAGTTCATATTTACGATGGATGATGGGGCAACATCATATGAAAATTGCACCTCCCAATGGGGTGCTAATAATCCCGGGGGGGAGAGCCTATTCTCTTCAGAGACATGAGAATATATGTGGTGCAATCGATGTGGTGCAATCGATGTGGTGCAATCGATGTGGTGTAAGCTATATCGTGCAACATGTGTGGTGCAGCATCTGTGGGGCAACCCATGATGTGTGAGCTATGTGATGCAATCGGTGTGATGCTTTATATTATAATATGAATTATGCGGTGTTAGCGACGTGGGACAGCCCATATCGTGTGAGCTATGATCTGTCAGCTATGCGTTGTAAGCATCCACGACGGACGGCGTCCACAAGGCCGGCACACAACCAAACGCACAAGCAACCACGACGGACGGCAGCGACGGACCTCGACGGCGACAATACGCGCGGCGCCTGGCAGCCAAGCGCAGAAGCAACGGCGACGGACGGCTGCGACGGCGGCATCAAGCTGGTTGGACCGACAGCCAGGCCCCTCCTGGAACACAAATAAGAAATCGAGGAACAGAAAAACAGGACAGGACAAACAGGAGGGAATGGAGAAGGAAAGAAACGGAGTGAGGAGAGGGGGGGCGGAGGGAGGGAGGGAGGGAGGCATAGGTATGGGAGAAGGGAGAAGAGAGATCGACCCCAGCTTCTGTTTGACAGGTGCCCCCTGAATCTGTTCCACGTATTGCAACGTAAACAACCAGACCAGCTCTTGGCGCGATGCTGAACAGACCAGCTCTTCGCGCGATGCAGAACACGCGTGCTGGTGGTGGGCACCAGCGGAGGACGACAACCGTGGCCATCTTCTTTCTCGATGATCTGCCGCGTGTTCCCTATCCTCTACTCACTAGTCACTGCTCTACTCACTAGACTATCCTATCCTCTAGTCTCTTAGCCATTGTACACAGTACGCCCTCTGCTCTCCGCAGGGACACGGCCAGGACGATGAATCAGCCTTTGCGGACACGTGCGCAACGCAGAAAGTACGAACGTGAGAAGGCCAGAGCCAACCGCTGAACAACAGCCCTGCCTGCACCACAACACTGACGCCAAACGATACAAAATCACACACAACGCCGCGATGACTCACGGCAACTCTAAACGCAAACTGGACTGATACTTTCTCGACCTGGATCGATCTCCAACTGTCCCAGGGCCCGGAACGGAACAACAACCTCCGCTACGATCTTTTCCAAAATCCCGGCGCCGCTGTTGCTCCGCAGTGTGCGCCCCCATCTAGGGAAGCTGAGCCATTCGCATCTGTAAGGTCCTGAGGTCACGCGCTGGCTGAGCGTTAAAAGGGCATTTGACCATGCGTATCGGGATCCTGCCCAGGCAAGCCGCGCCATGCGTATCAAGGTTCCTGGTAAGCCTCGACGCCTTTCCCCAGACTGGCTTGTCGTCCTGAGCCGTTTCGTTGACAGCCCCGCGGCCTTGCAAGAGCTCCAGAAGCAGAGCATTGCACAACAAGCAACCTGCCCGTCTTGCCTCCTGACGACACGCGAAGGCGCCTGGAGCGGGGGGCGAAAATCCCCCCCGCGGGACCCGTCCTGGGGTCTCGTCCTGGTCAGGTGCTCGACGGGAACGCAGCCGGGGCGACGAGGGCGCTCCAGGAGGGGCCAAACAACGCTTTTTTGATCCGCGGGTCGAGAGCGCACCTCTTCCGGCCGAAGCTGAGCGGGCCGCGCGAAGCTTGAATCAGGCACGAGAGGGGGGGGGGGGGGGCCAAACACGCCCCCCCCAGACTCAACAATAACAAGAAAACCTGAAGCTCGAAGACCAGCGCGACTGGGAGGGTCGGCATTCGGGCCATGTTGAGCCATGTTGAAGGGGCCCTGGGACACACAAATAAATACCCACAAATAAAAAGATCCCCCATATTTTTTCCAATATATTTTCTGGGTTTCTGTCTTCCCCCCCACTTCCCATATTGTCCCATATTTTCCTGGGAATCGACGATTAATTGTGTCTGTGTTTTTTCCCCTTCTGACATGTCTCGGGCCTCGGGCGGCCCTTCGGGCGGACCCTCGGGGCATCTCCGGGCGCCCCTCGACGAGGCGCGGCCGATGGGAGAGACGCCCCGGGGCCCGAGGACCACCAGAACCATCCCCCAGTCGCAGGCCTAGAGGTTGACACCAACACCAATTTCGGCGGTTTGCCTCCACCGAGGGAAGAAGATCCCGATCTCGGCGATGGTGGTAAGATTCTGGCTTCCAGGGTGGCCGAACTATTCCCACCAACACCGAACATCTGGGATCACCTTCCCCCTGTGGAGGCAACCCCCCTCTCTTGGTGTTGGTGCCAATTTCCAGGCCTCCGACCACATGACTTCGAGAGCATCCTTGAGAAGCTCGGAAAAGATCATCGGGCGCGAGACCGAGGGGCCGGAGAGGTCGGCTGCAGAAGCGCTCGGGGGGTCTCCTTCTGCTCGCACATCTCGTCGATCGTCCGGAGCAGGTGGGCCAGCAGCGCGCGCATGCCGCCCAGGTCCACCTGGCAGCAAGGAGGTATGAATGACGACTGCAGTATAGGAGCTCGGCATACAGTAAGATACGCATCCGCCAGGTCCACCTGGCGACGACGGCAGCGGCGACGGCGGCGACGACGATGCCGACAACGGCGACGGCGGCGGCGGCGACGAAGACGGTTGCGAGGACGACGACGCATTTGACGACGGCGACGTCGTCGAACATTCGTTCGAAGGTTGAGCGGATTCTCTACAACTTCTCGTCGCCACCGCTGGACGCAGCTCGAAACACCGGACCATGAAGACAACCCCCGAGAAGGGTCCCAGCACCGACTTCGAGCGGACTCTCGAAAGAAGGGCAAGGCTTTGACGTTCTCCTCGGGCCCCTCGTCGCCACGGCTAGATCCGTTTGGAGACGGTGGTGAGAACGCGCCCGAAGAGAGACCAGAGGCTACCCACGATGCGGCGCGATCCTCCGACCCCATCCAGGAATGCAGGACACGTGCGTGGCTGGACTCGCACGTGGAGCACGTGGCGGCCACGCGCCGGATGCTGGAGAGATATCTGGCCACCTGCGTAACTGCCCAGCTCTCACGCGGGCGGGCCGAATCACCAGAGGCCTCCTAGGTGGGGTCGGAGTAGATGGGGTCGAAAGATCTCGCCGCATCGCCGATACATCGCCGATGCATCGGCGATGCATCAGCCATGCACTGGCGACGTCGGCGATATTTCCGCGACTTCGGCGTGGAGCAAGTCGGGCCCCACATCGAGCCGCATCGCCGATGCATCGGCGATGCATCGGCGATGCGGCGAGATCTTTCGACCCCAGCTACTCCGACCCCATCTGGGAGGCCTAGAATCCCGTGCGTGCAGCTTGCTGACCCTCGAAAGCAATTTCGGAGGCCTGGAACGTGAGGCCGAGGCGCGACTCGCGCCACCCAAGGTTCGCGGCTGCCAGCCCCTCCCGCTCAGGACAAGGGAGCCCAACAGCCAGCCGGCCAGACCCCTCCACAGGCAGAGGCACTGCCGGGGGTGGGCCCAAAGGCGAACCGTGCAGCCAGACATTCGACGGTTGACCTGGTTGCAGTCCGCGGGCCCCAACGGCCCCGATCCCGCAGGCCTTCCGTCCCAGATCGCCCCTGACCGCGGGGAACGGCCCCAAGGAGGCCGAAGAGGAGGAACAGCGCCGGGACCCTTTTCCCCAAACAGTGCTTGCACTGCTACTGTCGCTGCTTACGTAATTGGATCGGGTTCCCTGGATTAGGGCCATGGTAGTTCTGGGGCCCTTGTACTCCGGGGGGCCCTTGTACTCCGGGGGGCCCAAAACCATTGAGGCACTCAAAGTGCTTCCGTTGCCTACTTCATTCTCTTTTTGGATTGGACTCGCTGGGCTAGGACCCTCGCAGTCCTGGGGCTCTGGCGGGCCCCATGTACCCCGGGGCGCCCAAGACTGTGGAGGTGCTCCGGATACTTTCGCTGCTCACGCCACTGGACTGGGGCTCCCCACAGGGCCACGCCCGCGCCCACGCCCGAGGAGGGGCGCCTCGAGGGCGCCACCGTGCTCTGGCTCGGTGCCCCGAGGCCCGGCCGCGCGGGCGCCCACGGGGCCCCGCTCGCGAGGGCGCCGCGGCGGGCGCCCCGCGCGGGCTCGGCAAGGGTGCCGCTCGCGGGCGCCGCGGGGGCGCTCCGTGCGCCGGGGGTGGGCCTCCCAGGACTCCGCCGTGTGGGCACCTCGGTGCCCACTCGTGGGCGCCCCGTTGGGCGCCCCGTGCGCTTATACGCCACACAGCTCGTACAGCACAGCTTGCACCACACAGCCTGCGCGGCACAGCCTGCGGTGCATCGCTCGCACCGCACGGCTCACGCCACATGGCTCGCCTCCCGCAGACTACACCGCTGAGAGTTCACCACGCAGCTTTCACCACATAGCTTTCACAACATACTCCATAGCATATAGATAGCCTAAACACTAGATGTTGCATCACATAGTCCCACCAGCCCTTTGGGCGTGAGTGGTTTAGAGAGCCCCCTCTGTCCTCAACCCCCCAACCCCCCTTCTTCCCCTTCGGGGAAGGGTTTACCCCTCCCCCTCCCCCCTCCCCCTGGGCCTGGACAGGGAGTCCCGCGGGTGGTCAGGGGGGTCTTTTTCGACGCCTGGGAGGGCCAAAAAACGACGACCCTCACGAGGATTCTGGCCCCGACGGGGGGGCGCTCTTGTAGCCCCCTCCTCTTCTGTGAAGCCAAAACCATTGCTTTTACGATGGTTTTGGCCCCATTTTGGCCTCCCGAGGGGGCCGCGCTCATCTTCCTTCCTAGCAAAATCATTTATTTTACGAAGGTTTTGGGCTCATTTTGTCCTTCTCAGGGGGTAGCGCTCATTTGCGCTTCTGAGGAGGTCGCACGAGGCCCCCAAGAGGCCCCAAGATGCCCCCAGGAGGCTCCCAAGAGGCCTCCAAGAGGCCACCAAGAGGCCCCCAAGAGGCCCCCAGAGGCCCCCAACAGGCCCCCAAGAGGCCCCCACGAGGCCCCCAGAGCCCCCAAGAGGCTGGCCCCCAAGAGGCCCCCAAGAGGCCCCCCAAGAGGCCCCAAGAGGCCTCCAAGAGGCTCCCAAGAGGCCCCAGGAGGAGCCCGAACGACTCACACCAGGACGAGGGGCCCGAACGACTCACACCACGAAGAGCCCGAACGACTCACACCAGGAAGAAGGGCCCGAACGACTCACACCAGGACGAGAAACCCCAAACGACTCAAACCACGAGGAGCGCTTTCTCTCCCTCCTCCTCCGCCTCGTCCTTCTCCCGCTCCCACCACAAGGAGGATGTAGAAGGAGGCGGGAGGAAGGAGGAACAGGGGAGATATGCGGGGGCAGGCGGAAACACGCCTGAAAAACACGACTGTCGGCATGCTTCGCAAGAGTTGCTGTTTTGAGATGGGCTGGTGGGGATACGCGAAGCGTAAAGAATTCACACAACATGTTTCACCACATAGCTCACACCAGAAGCGTACATACCACAGCGTACACCAAACAGCATACACCACGTAGCTTACACCACATACTCCACACCGCAAATTTTGCACACCACAGCTTATACCACACAGCTCACACAACATTGCCTCCACCCCCGCGATACGATATGTCGCATGCCACTAGCTGGAGCCCACGCTGGCTAACCTTATATGCTTGTAGGTACATATATACACCTGTACATTGTGTTATGCACACACGCCAGCACGCATGATGTCTGTGCATATGGCTATGTGTATATAAATATCAATGTGTGTATGTATACATCGTTTGTGTCCTGTGTGTGCAAGCGTGCACGCGTGCACTGCATATGCACGTGTGGAAAGCAAAGAGCATCACATGCATAGCATCGATGATGACCCCCGGGGGGACACATGGACAGACAGACGCCTGGCCTCCGACGCACTCTGCCCGATCCTCCTCTCTCGTGCCCTGCCCGGCCAGAGACAGCGCAGAAGGAGGCGAGGCCCCCGCGGCCCGGCACGGCTCTCGCTTGGTGAGGGGCACGGGCCCTGGAACCCGGGGGGCCTTGCCCTTGGACGTGTTGGTGGGCTTGCTTTCCACCTCCACCGCCAGAAGTGGGAGGGGGAGGGGGTCCACCTCCTCCTCCTCCTCCTCCTTCTCTTCGTCCTCCTCCTCATCCTCCGCCTCCTTCCCCCCTCCGACTTCGGGCGGCGGTGGTGGAGAACAGGCCCATGACTTGTTCTTCATCCTCAGTCGGTTTCAGACAATCCCAGGGCGTGGGGAGGGCCCCTGGAGGCCGAAAGCAGCGGAAAACCTCGGGACCCCTTTCCCTCACTCAGGACGCGCCTGCTTCACGGCGACTGGAAATGCGCGCGGCCCCCCAGGGCGGCGGCAGAGTCGACCCGCGGCGACGGCGACGACGGCAGCGTCCGCCAGCTGCTGTCTGGCCGCGGGCTCGCTGCCGCAGGCGTGGGCGATCCGCAGCAGCACGTCGAGCACCTGGCTGGCCGACCACGGACGGCGACGGCCGGGACGACGAAGGCAAGATCAGCCAGAACCGCATCGGGAAATCGGATCGACTCCACATGCGCGTCGGCCCGGGCCACCTCGGCACGGCGTCGCCATCGGATCGGCTAGGCTGCGCCAGGTGGCACAACATGGGCATGCAAACACCCCAGACCCCCGACGTCATGAATTTTCCATGACGTCGGCCCCCCGAGGTCTCGACCCATTCCCCGGGACCGGTTTTTCGTCCGGAGTCGTTTTTGTCACGGCCCTGATCAGCCGGTAAGGGCCCCCCGAGGCCGAAAGTAGCGAAAAACTCTCCGTTGTGATTTTTCCATGACCCGAAGTGGTCTGGGACTGGGCCGCATCGGGTCCCCCAAACACTGGAATCGAGTCGGATCGGGCCGGCCGAAGTCGACCTCGAATCGGATCGATGGGATCGACAAGCTAGGGAGCACTGCGTGGGCGACCCCTCCGGCGACATTCGGATGCCTTACCTCCTTACCTTTCGGCGGCCCTCGACGGGGGAGCGGGTTGGCAGAGGCAGATGCGCTGGAGAGACACGCGGCCACATGTGCAGCCAGCTTTCGCCCAGGCCGGCCACAGGTGCATCCAGCTTCCTGGCACTTGCAACAATACTCGACGAACGCGTGGCCAGCTCTGGAGACCCTGGCTGCCCCGGCGTTGGCCTTGGGCGGAGGCCCCTGGGGGCCTGCATTTCTGCATCCGCTGAGCTTCCGCTGGGCTTCCGCGGGCAGCGCCGCCCATCGTCTCACTGCTGCCCAGCATTGAACGAGGGCGGGATGCCGTTTTTCCCTTCCTTCTCGCCTCTGGTCCCTGCCCTGGCTGCGTGGGTGCTTCTGACGTGAGAGCCTCGGCTGGCACAGTGGACGCAGGAATAATTACAGCCATCGTGCTACCACGAGGATCGGAGATCCTGGCCGCAGCCAGCCTCGACCACGAATGGGCTCCCCGCCCTAGATCTCGGGAACGGCCGAAAACCAGAGCCCCTCCCGAGCTCCAAGTAATCCTTTTTCCCAGCGCCTTGACTGTAACAGTGTGCGCGATGCAAACATCGCCGTTCCGAAAGGCCTCCTACATGGGGTCCGAGCAGATTCGGGGGCGGCCAAGCGTTTTTTTCTTGTGTGTTTCCCCTCTAGATGTGCTGCGTGCGCGGTGTTGGCAGCGTCTAGGGACGTGCATTGAACACAGAGGAGGAAGGGCGGCGCCGTGTGAAGATCCCCTGTGGCCCAAACGGCCACACGCATAAAGTTCACACACAGCGGCAATCCAGGAGGGAGGAGCGAGGAGGGAAGCAAAGGGGAAAGCGCGCACGACAGACAGCAACGGACAGGGGCGGGCATAGCGATAGAAAAACGCCCATATTCCTATCAGCCCTACGGCGTCCGTGTGGACGGGAAGCACAGAAAGAGAGAAAGAGAGAGAGAGAGAGCGAGAGAGGGGGGCGTCCAAGACGGGGGGTGCAAATCATGGCCGGCGGCATGTGCGCGGTTCAAGGGGGGGCCAGGGACGTAATGAAATAAGAAGAGGCGCCATGACACCTGGGGAAACATCATGGCCCACGCCATGATGTCCACACACCCCCCTAGTCATCACCCACCTCTTTGCCGCCCCCGGCAGATGGGGTCGGAGGCTCGCGGCGCATCGCCAGTGCATCGGCGACGTCGGCGATGCATCGGCGACGCTGGCGCAAACAAAACCGGGCCCAACAGTCGAGCCGCAACGGCAAATGCAGCGGCGACGGATCCCAAAAGAATCCGGGGACGCGCCACCTCTCAGAGGCACACCGGCAGCTTCGCAGAATCACGGGACAGCTCCTAGCCTTGAATCGGGCCTGTCCTCCTACAGGGGGATTGTTTGGACGAGAATATAGGAAAAAACAAAAAGACCCCCAAATGGTCAACAAATACTTTAAACAATCGTTCCCATACTCTTTTAAAACTATGTTTGAGCATTCCCCTGTAGAGGGACAGGTCCGGCTTAATCCTAGACACGGGACAGCTTGTCAGAAGCAAGCCGCCCGCGTCTTAACAACACGCCGGGAACAGCTTCTAAGAATCAGTCACCAGCTTCTCGAAGGGGGGCCCGCGCCTTCTAAGAGGTGGGGGTGCATCTAATTGAGGCACCCTTCCAACAACCCTCCTCTCTGCGCGTGGCTGATCCGCCCTCCCCCTCCTGATCCTCCGCCGAGAAGCGTCGAAACCAAGAGCAGCAGATCCGATCACTGGTGCCAGCCCATTCATCGTCCTCGTCGTCGTCCTCCTCCTCCTCCTCATCCTCCTGTTTCCCCGACCAAGCCTCCTCCTCCCTCCTCCTTCGCCCCGCCGTACTCCTCCTCCTCCTTCTCCTCCTCCTGCGCCGACCGCTCCCACTCGTCTCCTCCCCACTCCTCGTCCCTCCCCACCCTTCGCTTCACGTTGCAGGCACGAGTCTGAGGTTCTAACGAAGGTCGACAACAGAAAACAGGCACCAAACGAGGGGTGGAGGGATCGCCTGCGAGAAGCGGTACGAGTCAGAGAGGAGGAAGGGATGCAAACTTTCGAAGCTCCGCGCGGATTTGTTTGATGGGCGCTGAATCCCCCTCCATGGCGCGCAGAGCGCGCAAGAAGCGACGCCGGAGGGAGCCGCCAGGGGGATCAGCGCCGATCCAAGAAATCCGCACGGAACTCCGAAAACTTCTGCTCATGCACTTGTCCCCCCCCCGGTTTTTTGAGCCGCCTCTCATCCTCACGCCGATCAAGATCAAAGGAGAAATTGATAAAGATAATAATGCAACAAATCAACAAGCCTGGAGAGAGGCGAGGGCTGGGCGGGCGGTCCTTGCCTCTGCGTGCTCCCCCCTCCCTCCCGCTCATCCAGCTCCCCGCCGCCGCCGCCTTGCAGCAGGGCGGCGTGAGACGACGGGGCCTCACAATCGGTGCCCATACCCTCCCCTGGCGTCCAGACGCACCAGTTTTCCGAGCCGAGTCCTCCCGTGGCGGCGAGGGAGCCCCCGCCGCCTACGGAGGTGCCGCTGCTGGAAAGCGCCCCGAGGCCATGGCTGGAAAACCTCCCGGAACCGACGAAACCGTCGATGACGTGCCCCCCCAGGGTTTCATGACGCTTCCTGATTGTGTCATGCCGTCATGATGCCATGATTGTTTCATGAGGTCTCGACCCATTCCCTGGGATACGGTTTTCATCCTGGGCCGTTTTTTGGCGGTCTCCTGTCGTGTTTTTGTTCATGACCCGAGTGGGTCTGGGTCTGCACCCATCCCCACTCCTGCGGGCAAGATGTATGTCCACATCCACTGCTCCTTGGGCTTTCCGCAAGGGGCACCGAACGGCCGAGGCGCAGTGGATATGGACTATGGATAAACATCGAGCCTCTCTCTCTCTCTCTATATATATATATACATATATACACAGAAGTATATATGTATATCTATATATAGACAGAGAGGGGCCAGACCTTTTTAGTCCACATCCTCTGCACCTCTGGGCCCTGGGGAGGGAGGCCCGAAGCTCCAAGACGCAGTGAGGTGGGCGCAAATCTTGCCCCCCCCTCCACCACAAATCTTGCCCTGTCCGTTTCCTCCTCCTCCTCCTCCTCCTCCTCCTCCCCCTCCTCCTCCCCCTCCTCCTTCCCCCCCCTCCTCCTCCTCCTCCCTCCTCCTCCTCCTCCTCCTCCTCCTCCTTAGCCCTCCTCCCACCCCTCCGCCGCACGGGGCGGGCCGAGGCGGCGGTCGCCCGAGGGGGCGGACGCCAGAGGCGGGCGGAAGCGCGGGCCTCGAGGGAGCCCTCCTGCCCGCGCTCGGGCACGGCCGCCTCCAGGCACTGCACCACCACGGCAACGCCGCCGATCTCGCCGAAGACGCGGCACCTCGCCCGCCGAAAGGTAAGGCATCCGAATGTCTCCTCCTCCTGCTCCTCCTCCTCCTATTCCTCCTCCTCCTCCTGCTCCTCCTCCTCCTCCTCCACCTCCTCCTCCTCCTCCTCCTCCTCCTCCTCCTCCTCCTCCTCCTCCTCCTCCCCCTCCTCCTTCTAGGGGTCGCCCACGCAGTGCTCCCTAGCTTGTCGACCCCATCGATCCGATTCGAGGTCGACTTCGGCCGGCCCGATCCGACTCGATTCCAGTGTTTGGGGGATCCGATGCGGCCCAGTCCCAGGCCCCTTCGGGTCATGAAAAAATCATGACGGAGGTTTTTTTGTAGTGTTCGGCCCCTGGGGGCCCCTACCCGGCCCTCGGGGCCGTGAAAAAACGACTCCGGACGAAAAACTGGTCTCCCAGGGAATGGGTCGAGACCTCTGGGGGCCGACGTCATGGAAAAATCATGACGTCGGGGATCTGGGCCCGCGGCGCGAATGGGGCAGCCAGAGTGGCGAAGAGGGCCCAGCCACGTGCTCACGCAGGACGAGGTGTTCCCTGCGGGGTGAGAACAGCGATCGAGGAGCTCGCGGGATAGCATCGGCGCCGCAGAACGGACGTCGTCTGGACGAGCTGCGTGCAGCAGCGGGAGGAGAGAGATGCATTCATGTGGAATGGGGCCCGCGCTCCCGGAAAGCAGTTGGGAGTGCGCGAGGCAGCGCAGGGCCCATCTTGGGAAGCTGATGACCGAACACCCTTCCCCGTAGAATCTTAATACCGACGGATTCTGGTGTCCGTCGATCCGATTTCTTCCAGTTCCCCGCTATGATCTCATACAATAGATTTCAAACGGGGTACAAGTCGGATCCGCAATAAAACAAGGACCGGACCCGGATCCAGAAAATCCGAAATCGGATCCGCGCGGACCGAAATCGGATCCACCGACACAGAAACCAACACCAAAAGAGGATCCGCGCGAAGTTAATTGGATCCCACGGCGGTTATCTCATACGCGTCTGCTCAAGACTTCATGCCGTCGCTCCGGGCCCACGGGGAAAAGACTTCAGTTCTGGGGATTTCTGCGAGCGCGAGTGCCGCGAGGCGCTTGCGGGACGAGGGAGGGAAAGACCTCCCAACGAAACGTGCCTGGCGTGCGCCCTGTCCAGGGGCACGAACAATGACATTCGAGCATGCAAACTCGGAGGTCCGCGCGGACTTCTCAGATCGGCGCTGGACCCCCCTCCCTTTTGGAGTCCCGAAACGGTGCGGTGACGGATCGTGCGGTGACTTCGAAATCCCCCAAGACCTCAACGCACGGTCCGTCACCGCACGGACTTGGGACCCCGGAGGCCCCTGTCGCCCGAGACGTATCCGGGACATGTGCGCGGACCTCCGAAGCTTTATGTTCACGTCGTAGTTTGTGCATTGGCGGCGCGCACAAGGGGGTGGAGGGGGGGGCTTCTTAGAAGGAGGCTGCTTCTTAGAAGGCGCCGGCCTTATATCTATAGATAAGGCCAGCGCCTTCTAAGAAGCAGGAGTGCTTCTAAGAAACCCTCCCCCCTCCCCTCACCCCCCTCTGCGCGTGCGACCACCACGGCCACGCCGCCGCCCTCGATGAAGACGCGGCACCTCGCCCAGTCGGAATTTTAGGAAACAGCTCCTGGGAGGCCTGCGCAAGAACGACGAAGGGCTCCCTGAGCCCGATGCCGGTTCAGGCAATGCAAAGCTCGGCATTACGCCGGATTGAGCTGGACTGCGCGGGCTTCGACGGAATTACACCGGATCAAAAGGACTATGCCGGATGAGGCGGGTTATCGGCCACGGATATATCAGCGCCGATGCTGAATTCAATATCCCAGGAAGTGCGTCTCAAGAACCGTGCACAAAGAGAAGAAACGGGCCTTATGCATTATGATGCAGCGACGTTACGCGGTGGCTTACGCGGGCTGCCCGCAAGGCGCGCTACGTTAGAAGCGAAGGCTCTTACGCACGACCCTACGCGGACAGCTTACGCGCGACTGCCCGGGCACTCGAACCTGTTTTTTTCCTGCGTCGCTCACATGGGCACAACAGCTTGGGTCAAGAGCACAAGCCCCTTCGCCGAGGTCTCGATGCCCAGGGTAGATTGGGGAAACCCGAGACGTCCCGAAGCCGCTGCTCCATGGACCTTTCATGTGGTGCGTTCTGGTAATAATTTCGCGGCGAGTGCCAGCGGTGGCGACGAGGGCCTCCCAGGAGACCCCAAAAGGCAATGATCCTGGCGAAGGACCCAACCGTATGCAGTTGTGAGTACCGTCGTTGCGGGCATCGCCTCCGAAGGATCTCCTCATAGGCCATGAAGCATGCGAAGAATGTGCGGAGATGAGGCGGGGCCGCCATGTGGGCGCTGCCACTGGGGCTTCAGGTGGAACCCGCTGTGGGGCCGCAAAACGTGTGAAGGGTAAAGCGCGTGAGAGCACTGTATTGTTTGAGGAGACGCGCATGCGGCCTGCGGCCGCTGGGACCTTCGGTGGAGCTCCCTGCGGGGACGCGAAACGCTGCACTGAGTGTGGGGGGCGCGTCTGGACACCGCCACTGGGGCCTTCGGTGGAGCTCTCCATGGGGCCACGAAGCGCTGTAGGATGTGGGGGAGACGCATGCGAACACCGCCACTGGGGCCTTCGGTGGAGCTCCCTACAGGGAGACAAAGAGAGAGAGAGAGAGAGAGAGACGAACGGACAAACAGACAGACAGAGAGAGAGAGAGAGACACACAGAGATGGACACGGGCAGCGAAGGATTCACAGATGCCTTGAGACAGAAAGGCGCGCGAAGCACGTGCCCCCCCAAGCGCCCTCAGCTATACGAAAACATGAGGCCACGAAGCGCTGTACTGGGCGGGGAAGACGCATGCGAACACTGCCACTGGGGTCTTCGGTGGATCTCCCCATGGGACCACGAAGCGCTGTACTGAGCGGGGGAGCCGCATGCGAACACCGCCACTGGGGCCTTCTGTGGAGCTCCCTATAGGGCCACGAAACGCATGAGAGGTGTGCCGAAATTGGTGGCAATGATGGCAACAATGACAGCGATCCTGATGACGATGATGGTGATGATGACGGCGATGATGATGATGCTGCTGATGATGATGACGATAATGATGATGATGATGATGATGATGATGATGATGATGATGATGATGATGATGATGATGATGATGATGATGATGATGATGGTGATGATGATGATGATGATGATGATGATGATGATGGTGCTACTGCTGATGATGATAATGATCATGATGATGACGTTTATGATGACTATGATGATGATGCTGAAGCTGAAGCTGCTGATGATGATGATGATGATGATGATGATGATGACGACGATGATATGATGATGCTGAAGCTGAAGCTGCTGGTGATAATGATGATTACGATGGTGACAGTGATGATGACGATCATGATGCTGATGCTGATGGAGGAGGGAGGAGGGGGGGGGAGGGAGCGACGAGGAGAGGAACGCGGGGCGCTGTCTCTTCAAAGCGAAGACCCAACACCACATGATGGCTGGAAAAACGAGGCGAGGGCAGCGGTATCGATACCTTCTCCCCCTCCGGCAGATACCGAGAGCCTGGATCACTGGCCGGATCACGAAGAGCAGGAGGGTACCTCTCCTGAGAGCCGGCAGGCCCAGGGAATATGCCTCGGGCGCCGCGGCCGCCCCATGGCGCTCCAGGAGGCGATGCCGGACGCAAGGGTCGGGAGCTCCCCAGGAAGGCTTGGCCACTGGGTTCAGGTCAAGAATCGTGCCCAGACTTTTTTTTTTTTTATGATTCTTCCCCAAAGAACTTGCTGAACAGGGTGCTGTTGTGATAGAAGCTAACTCCGGCCGAGGGAATTCAAAGCAGAGACGTCCTCAAACAAAATGTGGTGGTCCGGGCCGTGTCGCCTGAGACATCCTCCCAACTCTCGTTTCTGAGTTGTCCATGATTGGGCGTTTCGCGTGAGACATCCTTCATACTCTGAGCTTCCAGATGCCGCGCAAGAGGCGGTCCAGCGCGTTTCGCCTGAGACATCCTCGCAACTCTGAGCTCTGAGATGCCGCGCAAGAGGTGGTCCAGCCCAATTCGCCTGAGACATCCTCGAAACTCTTGGCTCCGAGATGCCGCGCAAGAGGTGGTCCGGCCCATTTCGCCTGAGACATCCTCCAAACTCTGAGCTTTGATACGCCGTGCGCGAGGTGGTCCGGCCCCTTTTTCCTGAGACATCCTTGCAACTCTGCGCCCTCTGATGCCGCGCGAGAGGTGGTCCGGCCCGTTTCGCTTGAGACAACTTCCAAACTCTGAGCCCCGAGATGCCGCCCAAGAGATGGTCCGGCCCGTTTCACTTGAGACATCCTCGCACTTTTGCATTCCGAGATGCCGCGCGAGAGCCTTTTCGCCTGAGACATCCTCGAAACTCTGGGCTCCGAGATGCCGCGCAAGAGGTGGTCTGGCCTATTTCGCCTGAGACATCCTGCAAAATCTAAGCTCTGAGCTGCCGCGCAAGAGGTGGTCCAGCCCAGTTCGCCTGAGACATCCTCACAACTGTGACCTCGGAGATGCCGCGAGCGACGTGGTCCAGCCCGTTTCGCCTGAGAAATCCTCGAAACTCTGAGCTCTGAGATGCCCTGCACGAGGTGGTCCGGCCCGTCTCGCCTGAGACATCCTCGCAACTCTGAGCTCTGAGATGCCGTGCGCAAGGTGGTCCGGCGGGTTTCGCACAAGACATTCTCGCAACTCTGAGCTCCCAGATGCCGCGCAAGAGGTGGTCCAGCCTGGGGGCCCAGAAAACCACACGTTACATATCCCCCCTGGGACCCTGGAAGCCCCAGGAGGCCCCAGAGAGCTTCAGGAGGCCGCAGGACGCCCAGGACAGGCCCCAGGGGTCCCCAGGCGATTCCCAGGAGGCTCCCAGGAGGCTCCAGGAGGCCCCCTTATCAGAACGTGTCAAGTTAATACACATATGGTGTCGATTCGTGGATTTGTCTTGCTCTTGTGGCCCCCCATTCTGGGGGGCCCCGACGGCCACATGTTAGATATCCCCCCCTGGGAGACCGAGGCTTCAGGGAGCCCCAGGTGGGGTCCAGGAGGCCACAGGAGGCCCAGGAGGAAGCCTCAGGAGGTCCCCAGGAGGCCCCAGGAGGCCCAGGCAACTCGGAGCTCTGAGACGCCGCGCTCGAGGTGGTCCGGCCCTTTTCGCCTGAGACTTCCTCGCATCACGTTTCGCCCGAGACATCGTCGCAACTCTGGGGTCCGAGATGCCGCGCGCGAGGTGGTCCAACCCGTTACGTTGGAGACATCCTCGCAACTCTGGGCTCCGAGATGCCGTTCGGGATGAAGAGGAGGTGGAGGAGAAGGAGAAGGAGGAGATGGAAGGGGAAAGGAAGAGGAGGATGTGGATGAGGGAGCAGGCAGGAGGATGGGGTGGAGGAGGAGGAGGAGGAGGAGGAGGAGGGAGAAGGAAGGGAGTTGCAGGAGAGGACCCAACGAGAAGCGAGTGTGACGTGGACTTGTCAGAACGTGTGCGAGAGGTTATCCGGCCCGTTTCGTTTGAGACATCCGAGATGGTCTGGCCCAATCTGCCTGAGACGTTTCGTAGCACAGGGGCTCCAATCACAACCTCTCGCATTCCTTCTCCCGCCTCCATCTTCCCGCTTCCCGCCTGGCTCCTCTTCCCTCTTCCCTCCTCCCGCCTCCCGCCTCCCGCTGCTGCGACTCTGCCTCCGCCTCCCCGTCCCAGCCGTCGTCGCTTATGCCGCCTCAGCATCCGTCATGCGCGCCCTGCCTTCCGCCCCCCCCCCAAACATCCGACGACATCAATACCGCTTGTCGGCGGTTGATCCGCCTGCCCCCTTCCAGTTGGCATGGAGGTCGCCGTCGCTGCAATAGTATTGAGCCATCGCTCTGCGGCGGTCTTCAACGAGGTCTCCGACCAATACGTTCCAGCCAAGGCAACCAGGGCGACAAAGGGGAACCATCACGACATGCCCCCCCGCTTTCGCGCCCTCCCCCGCTTCCTCTTACGGTTGCTTCCGAGTTCACAGCATAGCGGTGAAGCCTCTGACAGTGCCGACCAAGCTTACTCGTCGACCAGGTGCGAGAGAATACGACACCCTCTAGTGTTAGCTTCCTGATGGGCATGCGTCACACAAGTTTTCGTGTCAACATCTCATGTGCAAACATCATGTTATCAGGTTCTAACATGCCATGCCAGCCCGCACTGGACGGGCACGCAATCGACTTTGGAAACCGCAGTGGCTTTAAAAACCCTGTTTGGGGATACTGCGCTCGGCTATAATTTTGAATATTCCACAAGTAGGAGGACACGCCCGACTTCATGCTGGGCCGCCCCGCCCCTTTCGGATGGCTGCTTGGGCGTCCCAAGGCGGTGCGGCGACAGACCGCGCGGTGACCTCGGAATCCCCAAAGACCTCGCACGGCTCGTCACCACGCGCTCTTCTTGGACCCTGGAGGCCCGTCACCCGAGACAACAACCGAGATCCGACATTGCAGCAAAGATCCGCCGACCCTATCGGCGTATGTGAGAAGTTGGTCCGTTTGAGTCGTCGTCGTCGGCGTCGCCGTCGCCGCCCCCCCCCCTTCCCATGGGCCCACCTCCTCAAGCGATCCAGCCAAACGGGACATCAAACAACGCCGAAATTCATTGATTCAAAGGGGAGCCCCTTCCCTTTGATCCTTTCCGTCCGCTTCGATTCCTTCCCTGCCAAGAGTGAGGGGTCGCAGCGCGGGTCGCCCGGGAGGTCCCAGGGTTAGGTCGGGCGTGTCGCCCCACAGGGGGAGCTTGGACGAAAAATAGGGAACAGGCAAAACATGCTCAAAAATACTATCAAAAAATGGTCCCCGTCATATTTTTGGGCTATTTCTGAAGATCCCTCCTGCAGACGCGCAGGCCCGACTCAATCCCAGGGAGGGGGGGGCCCAGGGGGTCGTGGCCTCCCCCCAATGGGTCGCCGTCGCCGCTCCTGTCCACGGGATCCTCCTCCTCACGTGACCCAGCCAACCCCGAGATCCGACGTTGCCAACAGAAATTGAGGGCATGGTGTCTGGCGAGGACGTCACGAGCGACGAGCACCGCGACGTGGCGCGGCAGACCATCGTCGACGGCGCGGTGCTGCCGAA